AGAAAAGCAACCATCACAAACGGAGACACTGAAGTGGGACAGAGCAGGTTCTGGTCAGTCGCTTCTCCATGCAGATGTTTAGAAAATGAAAAGCATGCAGCCAGACGCTCACCAAGATAAAGCAGGACTCTCCGGATTGCAGCAACTGCGTGCAACCCTCTGCTCTTTTGCTTGAAGCTCTGAACATTGGACATTCCTTTAGGGTACAGGGGATTCAGGAACATCCCTGCAACTACATAAGCTCCCTGGATTTCTCTTAGAGCCCAGCAGAGAGAGAAAAGTATGATGAGGATGTAGCTAACCGGACCCTGAGGTCCTGTAACCAAGAACTGGGACTGAGCTGAGCCAATGAAGTGATGCAACAGTCCGGCCTCCGCCGTGGCCGCCGCCAGCAGGCTGAAAAACAGCAGCAGCTCCCGGCAGCCGAGGCTCCAGCCAAAGGAAGTGAGAGGGAAAGATGGCGACCCCCCGCTGTGAACTCTGTGGTCCCTGAAGGCGGTTCTCTGGCACCTGCAGAGCGCGCCGACCTGGCTCAGGTCCAGGCTCAGCAGAAACCCGGCAGAGGTGGAGAAGAGGACAACGCCCAGCGATGACGGGATGAAGTAATTACAAACAGCGACGCCAAAGGACACGGCGCACATGAGGAGCAGCCTGAGGGACACAAAGTTAACGATGACGTGATAAACAACAACACATCTCATCGTTTCTAGGTGTCAAACGGTTGTAGGTCATCATGGAGGGATGTTGCTCACCTGATGTTGCTGGACATCGGCGAGCCTCCCAGGCCAAACACCAGAACCTGCTCCGTTCCCCAGAGGAGCAGGGCGTCGAGCGGCGGCAGAACCCCCAGCGCCCAGAGCAGAGGCAGGAAGATGAAAACCACGTGCAGAGTCTGGCTGGCCAGCTGGAGCTCAGGAACAGCGTGGGAGAACCTACACAAAATGTTGACATCACTGTGACTGGGGCTGATTAATCAGATTAATCGATTATTGAAATAATTTAAAAGATCAATCGTTAAGTCTAAAAAAAAAAAAGAACATTTGCTGAAAACAAACATTTTCAGAGCAGTAATTAAGTCAAAACTGTACAAAATAAATATACATTTTGCATTTAAGAAAAGAAAACATGTCTTTAACTTTTATTTAAAAAAGTTTTATACATTTTGTTAAAATTGTCACCATGTTTTAACAGTTTAGTATGAGCTACTATGGCTGTTTGAAGAAAAGTGACACTCCTGGTTAAAAACAACCAATCAGAGCAAGGAAGAGGGTCTTAGCGCTGTCAATCAACCACGTGAAAGTGCTGCCAAATGTCCCAATGACACAGAAACAACTTAAAGTTCCATAAAAAAAGTTTATCCATAATCGGTGGCTATGCTAACTAGCATTAGCATTCTCTGCTATCAGGAAGACGCTGCAGCGTAGTAGAGAGAAAGTGTGTGTGGGGTGAGCACTGCATACACAAAGCATAACTGTTGATTGACAGCGTTAAGACCCTCCTCCAAGCTCTGATTGGAGGTCATCTGTGTCAAACCATACTGTGATGTCATGGTGACAGTTTCAACAAATATGTAAAAAATATTTTTATTAAAAGTTACAAACTGCAGCTTTAAACATGTTTTAGCCAAAACTCCTCAAGTGGCTTAGTTTTAGTTTCAGCAGGCTCAAATTCACAAAAGAAATGCTACAGTGTTGAATTTTAGACAATAAAATTTGTATTTTCTCATTTAAAAGAGGAATAAAATTGTTTATTTGCATCTTCAATGTATTTATAATATTGTATAAAAAAGGCTTAAGTGATTAAATGAAAAATCAGCAGAATGTGCCAAAGTTCTTTTAATTTAATTGATCAATCAGAATAAACAATAAGTTGATTAATTTAGATTAACTGATTAATCTGATAATTTTTTTTATCTGATAAATTGTTGGAATAATTGATTAACTGGATAAAAAAATAAGTTTTATCCGATTAACCTATTATTCATCAGAATAATAATTTAGTCAATTATTCTGATGAATTGATTTATCTGATTAACAAATTAATCTGATTAATTTGATTAACTGTCAAAATAATCGAGTAATTTGACCATTTTTTTATCTTATAAATCGTCAGAATAATTGACCAATTGGATTTAAAATACATATTTTATTCGATTAATCGTCAGAATAATCGATTAATTGGATAAAAATTGGAGTTGGAGGATTGCAGTTTCCTGAAAACTGAACCCTGTTGAGTTGTTGCTCACCTGTCAGCCAAATCCACGGCGATGAAGATAAAAACGTAGAGCGGCCGGGTGAGCGGCGTGATCTCGTACGTGTCCTGTGCTTGGAAAGTAGCCGTCTCTGCGGCCGTATTGACGATGAGGGAGTACTCGGCTATACACAGAGTCACCCAGCTGAGGACAAACACGACCAGGGAGGCGCCGGTGCTGCCGTACAGAGCCGTCAGTCGGCCCAGCAACACGTACCATGTCCCAAAGCCGCACAGAACTCCAGCTAGGACCGTGTGCAGAACCACATTCAGGCCGAACCGCTTCCCCGGAGCGATGAATCGGACCGTCTCCGGACTGACGCAGTGGGTGAACTCCACCTCCTCCTCGTCAACCAGGTTGTTGGGTGCGCCAAGTCTCTCCACTACTGTGCCGCTCCTGCGTGCAGCGTGCAGCGCCAGCGCCTGAACACCTGCTGCAGCTGCGAACATGAGCATGCCAGAGAGAACGGCGGCATAAAGCTCCTGGAGCAGCTGCAGCTGGCAGAGCAGCGTGCCGATGCCGCCGAACAGCCATGGCGTCAGGAACAAAACCGCTTGGTTGACGTATACGTAAGGCGGGGCACAGTAGCCTAGCTTGAAGCGGGGACCCCCCAACACGGTTTGGGGGAAGCGCTTCCAGAAGAACTCTTGCTTGTACTCGTTAAGAAGGGGCACATCTGGCCCCATTCTGACCATTCCAGAAAGAGTGGCAGGTCATCTCCACGGAAACGGAGAAGGCGTCGCTGTCATCATCTCGGCCATGGAGGACGACTCACCTGGAAAACACGAAACACTTCAGTCACAATACAGACCAGAGGAGGGCAGAGTACCCAAAAAAGTACTAGAGTAGCACTACTTCAATAAAGAGAACTAAAGGTGACTGCTTATGCTTCTTTAAACAGATTAGGACAGATCTATGGCCTATACAAATCATGTTCATTACGTTTTTTGTCTCATTATCTAAAATATTCTTATATAATGAGATTTCCGAGCGTCTTGTCACTTTAAATAAAAAATAAGCTGCTGCTGGCCACTCCCCCAACTCAATGTTTACACTCGCACATGAAAATTGCTGCAAACAGATGCACAATTATACAATTGTACATCTTTGAAAAGCAAAAGTGGAGCCTCCTTCACAACCAACATGAATGCAGCACACAGACCAATCCAGCACATGAGCTAAAACTGTACTAGCCGCTCAACCTGGGTTACGGAGAAAAAAACACTAAATTGTCCAAAGACCTCAACATTTTTCATTTCGTTTGGAAAATAAGGCAGCAGAACTTCAAGCTCAGAGTCAGAGCAGGAGTCTAACAAGAAACAGTGGTGCACTTTGAGTTTCAATCTGCTGGCAAATTTTATGGAAATACTGTTTTTTTTTTTCTCCAATAAGTTTTGGTGCCTGTCCACACTGCCAAAGATCCTCCATGCCACGTCGCATTGATGCAGTAACCGCATTAATGACTCCTGAAGTGTTAAACGATTAAAAATGTTGTTTTAGTTGTCTAATATATTGTTGTAATTCTATTTAAACCATAATGAGCAAAATAACAAAATACAGCTTGAAATAAGTCAATATTTTTAGTTTAATAAATTAGCTTTTCACTGATAACATATTGAAATGCACCTGTACAGGTAATATAAGCTAACCTGGGCTGTTTTTTATTACCATGCTACTAGTGTTTAGAGGATTTGGATCAGAACCGAAAGCTAAATAATAAAACTTTTCTAATGTGTTAATTTTTCACATTAAATCAATCTAGAATGATGAATCTAAAAGGTGTGTGAACCTGGTTTGTTCATGTTTCTAACGTTTCTGAGCAAAAACAGCAACTGCTGCTGAGACACCAGAGCACAACAGAGCAACAGGATGCTCTGATGGGAGTCCGTCTGCTTAAACACATTATTACAAATATAACAACCCGGTGACACCAAACCAGGTTTGTTATTACAGATAAAGTGGTCTCAAAAGACTGAACCTTTGCTAGTTCTGTGGCTGAAATAACGGAGGCAGACAGCGCCTCAATCCGCTAACTTCTCACACTAATAGCTAAAAAAACAAAATGTTTTGAGCAATGAGAGATCAACTTACTATCAGGGGGATAAGGACCAACGGCAAAGACCCTGTAGTGATATTTTCCACAAGATAATTATGAGGTTTGAGAGGAAAAACGGCCTGCAGTCCTCAGTATTAACATTAGCTGCTGGCTAGCCATAGCACAGCTAACCAACAGCAACATGATGCGCTGTCAGACTTTGACCAATCACAGTGCAGCTTACATGAAGGAGAGGACTCTGATTGGTGTAGGATTTTTAATCCCGCCCACAGAGCGCTGCCCGTTTATCAACACAATAAAGACAGAATCACAAATCAGTTTGATCTCAGCTATGAAATACATTAAAAACACTTCATATAACAAGAAAATAATTTTTGTTCTAAAATAAACTTGCAAAGAATCAAATTTTAAATTTTGTTTATTTTTTATTCATATTTAAATTAATAAATACATAAAATGCTTGAAAACAGAGAAGACTGTCAACTTTTCTTGTTGAATGATTAATTGAAATAGAACAACAAAAGTGCTGATATACAACAAATTTAAATACAATATTATAAAGGTGCAAAGATTTCCTATAGGAGGGTTTAAGGAAGTTTAAAAAAAAACTCAGTTTAATTTAAAAAGTGCATTTACATGCTGGAAATAGGATGCAACATTTTTTAAAGTGTACAGTCACAAAATTTTATTAAATGAAAACAAACAACAACATATTTTTATATATTTTTTTATCTCTTCATAAATGTTTCTTGAAATTGCAGTTGTGATGGTGATGCTGTAGGAAGGATCTCCAGTAGCAGTCAGGCCTGCAGCGAAATTGAAGAAGCCTCTGACTGAAGAAAGTCGTTTTACCTTACGAATGTATATTTAAACCTTGTGGAAAGCCTTCCCATAACGACTGAAGCTGTTGTAACTGCAAAGAGTGAGCAAAAAAACATATTAAACCCAATTTACATGTGTGTCAATATGGTAGTATACAATCAATGAGAACCAATGACGTAGCTCTCCCGGATTCAGTCTGAATAATCATGTTTGTGTGAAGGAATATCACCAATCAAGAAAAATGCTGTCCCTATTTACTATTATATCAAATGTAGCTACTTGCACCATTGTATTTAAATCCTGATTCTCATACTCTTGGTTCAGTGGTCATTTGTCTGTATTTGTAATGTATTTAATTTAAAAAAGAGGTGCAAAGAACAAAACATAAAACAAAACAAAAAAGAGAAAATTTTAGATTTAATTGCAGATGTTAGGAACGGTAAGTGTGGGTATCAGAGGCCAGGAGGGTTTTTTTTTCCCTTAAAAAGCAAGTGTGTGTTGCTCTGTGTGTAAGGCAATCCATGAGAAGAAAGACGCTTGTCAGTTCTGACAGCCCTTATTTTAATCTGTAATCCTCCCAACACTTTAAGAAATATGTTTTCAACACTTAAGTCAAGGAGAAATAATGCAAATGTCATGATTTATAAAAGGCTGGCAGAAAATTGCACAAAAAGCTTATCTGACAAACCAGTGAAGAGTGATTTCTGATAAATTTGCAGGAAAATTGGGTATTTCTCAATTGTTTTCTTTTCCCATAAACTTTTTTTCCCTTCTTTTTAAAGAAGCAATACACTTTGTGGGATTGAAATAATGTGATGAACGGCACACAAGTTCAGTACTACAATAAATGACACGCAAGGTCAGAAATGAAAAGCGGTTAAGATTTTATGCTTCTGTGAGATTTGCTCTCATCCAAAATGTCTACACAAAATAGAAGCATTTTCCCTTTTCATCCTAATTGTCCGTCTCCAGTCGCTCTTTATTCCACAGGAAACAAATTACAGGAAAATGACAAGCGACAGCAATAATTCAATGGCACACTTCAAAAGAAGCAATATGGCAAGGCAGGATGTATTTGTGAGAATAAAGGAAAATGAACTTGGGATATAATATGCACCTTTTGAGGACAAAATAATTTAGATTTTGTTGATGACTTGCAGAGGGGCGTTGGGAGCAACTAAACGGCTCCTCTTCACAAACCGTCAAGCAAAACACTTCTGGACTTTCTGCAAAATGGAGAGCAGCATTTAGGAGGATGTGGCCAAAGGTGCCAGGTTGCTTTTATGCATTTAAATTACACTGATTGATTGATAGTTATATAAACATCAACTTCAAGGTTTTAGGTGTTGATATGAAAATAGAGTAGACGTAAAAACAATCTGTACAAAACTCTCTGATAAAAATGTAATAATTTCTTCTATTTTAGTTTGATCAATAGATATAATGACTCATATTTAATAAGATTCTATTGTCACTGATATCAGACACAAAATAAATCTGGTAATAAAGAGCAACACAAAGTTTTCACTCTATAATATACAATTAAAATAAACTTGATGTGAGCTTTTAACATTTTTATGACAATTTATCTCTGCTATATGTGAAAATGCTCAACTGCAAAGAAAAATAAACAGCTAAACAATTATGATTTAAATAAGTGGCAAAGGAGGTATGGAGTGCCCATTCCTGGAAATGTGTTCAATGTAAAAATATAAAATCTTACCAAGTATTTTTGGTTTAGTTTCTACTGAAAATATCTTATTACGGTTTAACTTTTCAGCAGGATGTAGGAGCTTGTTTTGAGTCAATAATTACTTTCTGAACTGCAAGTCAGCAACAAAACTCTTGTCTTTTTCAGCAGCCGTTCTACAAAACCAGCTGACCAAACATGCTCTAGTTCCACCGGGGTTGCTAGGTAACGGCACAGTGCTTGTGGAATGTGACTTAACTACTGGGAGGTTTTTGAAACAACTCGTTTTTCAGTAAACATTACCTTACTTCCAAAAAAACTTCCAAAAGTGCTTGGGCTATTTTTAGAAACAGTAGTCCCAAATGGAAGCATAAAAATATAAAAAAGGTCCAATTTATGAAGCTTCTGCTCTTTGTGACACTTTTTGCAGTAGGATGAGATGTTCAGCTGTATCAATGTAGAGTATTTTACAAAATTGCAACAAAAATGCTTTGTTCCCATCACATGGATCACATGATCAACAACTGGATGTTACTACTGGCAGAAAAGATGACAGGAAGTAGTTGGAGGATTATGGCATGGCAAGTTTCTTATTTAATGGAAACAATTACAAAATTGGGTAACACTTTATTTGAAGGGGGTTGAATAAGACTGACATGGCACTGTCATAAACACCTGTCATGAACATGAATAAGCCTTCATGAATATTTATGACTTGTCATAAGGCGTCATTCGGTAAATTATGACACTTTTAATACAAAGTTGACATGATTCAAAATGCCGTTGTTATGACAACTTGACATTAACCAAGAAATCATTACTGACATAAATTTGTTATAAAATTTATGTCAGTAAATTTTATAACAAATATAAGGTAACTTTTATGTTATTAAAGATAAAGTTTAAACAGTAATGATTTCTTGGTTAATGTCAAGTTGTCATAACAAAGACATTTTGAATAATGTCAACTTTGTATTAAAAGTGTCATAATTTACCGAAATACGCTTTATGACAATAGTCATAAATATTCATGAAGGCTTATTCATGTTCATGTTATGTCATGTTTATTAAAGTGTCATGACAGTCTTATTCAACCCCCTTCAAATAAAGTGTTACCCAAAATTGTGTTTTTTCAACATCAGCAGGAGATGCAGTTCCATTATAAATGTGGGCAAAACTTTGTCAATATTCTGTCGAAAAAACACAATTAAATTAGATACACAGTTAAAATCACATGTGAATAAGCTTGTTTATTAAAAAACATGCAACACCATCCTCCTCCTACAACTTCCTGTTGTCTTCTTCATAATTTCTGCCAGTAGAAACATCTGGTTGTTTATTGCATGACTTGTGTGATGTTTCTATGGAAATTTTACGAAATTCACTCATTTCAATACAGCTGGAAAACCACATCATCCAAGCACAAACATATTTTAGCAAAAAACATGTTTTTTCTAAATTGACATGTTTCCATTAAGCGAATTTGTCTTCATAATTCCAGCTTGTAAATGAAAACAAAGAATATTCTCATAGAACTGTGCAAAACTTTGTAATTGCGATTACATTGACCATATTACTGCGGAATTTGACATTTCGAAAATAAATCCACTTACTGACAACATGGCAAGTTTGAAAAAACCTTTTGCTAAAACATTTTGGCGCATAGATGAGGAGGTTTTTTTGCCCATATTGAAATTGGTTTATTTCGCAAAACCATAATTGAAGTACTTTATTTGAATCACATGACTCATATGTGATGGGAAAAGTTTAAAAGGAACCAAGCTGTGCAAAACTTCTGCATTTCCATTGACCATACAATTGCACAGAGTTATGAAAATAAATTTAACTTAATAGAAACATGGCAATTTAAAAAAAAATGTTTTTCTATAAAAAAGCTATGATGAGGTGGTTTTTTGGCCGTACTGAAATTTGTTTATTTTGCAAAACTCCAATGGAAACATTTTCACAGGTCCACATGATTAACAACCGGATGTTTCTACTGGATCAAACCACAAAGAAGACGACAGGAAGTGGTGGCAGGACGAAAGTGCAGCATGTCTGAGTGACTTACTGCATAAACAAACTTATTTAACTGCATTTCTTATTTAGTAGAAACATCACAATTATGAAATTGTGTTTTTTCGACATTAGTGGTATATGAAGGAAGTTTTGTGCACAATTGTAATGTAAACGGAGCAAGTGATGGCACACCTCTAATTCACTCCTGAACCTGAGTGGAAATACGCCCCACTCAGCAATTATTCAGTCTTAGACTAATGGTGGCTCTGAATCTACAGACACAGCAAATGCACAGCGCTACTGGACCAGCAGTAATGGGCGCCATACAGGCCGTGTGTGTGTGTGTGGTGAAGACTCTACCAGGGAAAAGAGGGGGTGGCATCATCTATAACTGATTCACAACATGCACAAACATCTCTAATTATGAATGTACATCACAAGTGCGGCGAATAAGCCAGTGCCTCCTCTCCGCCTCCCGAGCCACGCTCCATATCAGGCCCATGAAAACATAACCTGTCACATTCCATCCCATTAAACCAGCTACGAGCCATGTGGTTCACTCACGTGGCGCAGCGAGGGGAAGACACACAGAGCGGTGCATCTGGGTTCACTCAAAGGTGATGAATTATTCACGTTTTTTATGCTAATGTCATTTTAATGTAAGAAACACTGACAGATATGCAGATCTGCAACACACTCTGGAAAGCGGTATGTCCACTATAAGCTCCCGCTACTCACAGCAGAATTAGAAATAGTTATATTTATGACATCCATGGTGCACATACTGTACACAAATAAAGCATAATTATCCCCTGCAATACCTAATGCATTAGAGCACTCGCACCGAGCCCCCAAATCTGTGCTCTGAGTCCATCAGCTGCCATTTGATGTCAGGCACAGCAAGGTAATGGCAGTGCACTCACTTGCGAAGTCATTAGCCCCGCTTAATGCTGGGAATTAAAACAAATTAAGTGAAGTTAAGTACATGCATTAGAGAAGCTTGTTTGGGGGAGAGCTTTTCATTTCTCTCCTCTGCAGAAGCGGTTCTGCTGTTGGACGCCGAGCAAAGCCAGGAGGAACAAAATGGAAGAGCAAGATCTGCTGCTCCAACTGATGAGTTACCGCTTCAGAGCTGGAGGAGGAAAAAATCACCAAGGGCTGATTAGCGACGTTACTGGAGCTACAAGGACACCTAGCGGTCATGTTAACAGCACTAATCACGTTAATCCTGCTGAGGCTTCAGCTGGTGGCACTTCTGGACCAAACAGTGAAAAAATATGGAAACAACTAGACAGGAAATTTTACTCTACACTGCAAAAACACAAAGTCTTTCAGAGGATTTTTGTCTACTTTCTAGTGAAAATATCTTTTCAGTGGCATAAAGGTGTGCGTTTTAAGTCAATAATTTTTTAATATTGATAACAGTGCAATTCTTTCACTAATAAAATGGGAAAAATGTCTTAGTAAGTGAAATAATCTACAAGTGGAACTAATATTTAAAAAAAAAATCAGTATTAAGGAATTATTGACTTAAAACAAGCTTGTATATTTTGCTGAAGTTACTTCTAATTTAGAATTGTCTTATTTAAAGTATCTGAATCATGTTTGGACTTTTGAATACTGCAAAAACACAAAATCTTACCAAGTAATTTTAGTCTAGTTTTTAGTGGAAATATCTTCTGATGCGCTCACACCAAACGTGTTGCCTCTAAAACGCGCCCGACGCTTCAAGTTCGACGAGTGTGCACTTTGAATGCTCGACATTTTGTTTTACACCAAGCGTTTCATGGATCTGGTTTACATTCAAAGTCTATATGGAGGCGCGTCAAAGGCATGTTAGCTCTAGCTGTTGCTTTCCTTTGGACGCTCTTGACACGTCAAACGCTCGAGATGTAGTAGCTTGTTTTAAACCAATAAGCTGCTACAGCTTTCTTAAAACTTACTTCTAAGTTAGTTTAGTCTTATTGCATGTGTACTAAGATGTTTGCACTGGTAAGGAGACAAACATTTTTTGTTTTTTGCACCCTCCCTCCTGCTTTATCAGGAAAGACTGAAAAATGACAGTTTTGTCATTTATAAAAATGGCAGCGTATTTTCCTCAGAGTGAACTGAATGTATATTTGAAGCATCTATTTGTGAAAGATTTGACAATAAAGTTTACCCAAATTCACATGGACAAAAACATATTCATTAGTGTTACTGCACCCATTTAAACTCTGCATCTCGCTTATAATTTAAAAATAACTAAAACTGAAATGATTAATCCGATTAATTATGATTAATCGATTATTTTTTGATTAATTGTGATTAATCAAAATTGTCAACTAATTCAGTAAATTATTAAATGTTAACTGGAGCACAGAAACAAAAAAAAGGTAATTTTGTAATTAAATTGCTTATAATTAAGTCACTTGTAAGATGTGTACTAAAATATTTGCACTACAAATGAGATCACAGTAGTTGATAACATTTTATAATTTTTTATTGCAACATGAATTGGATTGGTTTTTATTGTGCTTTCAAAAGATTTATTGTGAAATGTTGCTTTATAGATAAACTATATTGAACTGAATTCCTTTGTTTGATCAATAACCATATTTTCCATTAGATTTATCAATGATGAACAAACAGAAACGTCTTTCATAAATGCGCCGTCGGTGACATGACTGGGGCTGGCTTTCCGAAAAGAGGCTAACAACATGAAACCGACAATCTCTGAAATCCATTTGGACCTTATTCAAGATTACATCTTCATCTGAGTGACCGCAGATTATTGTCCACAGAGAGGTGTCCTAAAGCTGGATTATCCACTTGTTGGGGATGCGTTTGACCCGATGGATGGAGCCTGCCAGCCTCACACGCTCCTCCATCTGTGAGCGTTTTTTTATTTTTTTATTTTTCTGCAGATTGTTTGGGGCTGAAATGACACCAATACCTCTCATCCTCAGATTACATGGTTAGTGATCCACATATGTGGGGAAAAAAATTAAGTCAGAGATTTTGAAGGGAATGTGCTGCATGTCAGAGCCCAGTAACCTGATATACCCCCAACTGAAAGCGAGTTATTCATTTCTAATTAGAGCTGGGCAATACGGCTTAAAATAAAATCTGACATTTGTTCATACCAGATCTGATTTTAATAGACTTTCCTTTTTGCTCACTGTTTTTCTAAATGAAATGAGAGAAAATATTATCAAAAAGTGTTTTTATTTAATCTGTTAATTGTACGGCAGAAAATTTCTTTTCATTTATGGGAATATAGTCATAATATTAGCATAAAAGATGCAATTTTTGCAGAAAGATTTTTTTAAAAGTGTTATTTTAGTAAAGTTTTTAGCGTTATCGGGATCGGATGTGACCAACTCTGTTCACGTGATTCTTTCTTCAAAATACTCAGTCGTGTATATAACATGGGAAAATATATTGTTAAAGGTGAAAAAAATCTGCCAGTAGTTATTGACTTAAAACAAGCTCCTGTTTCAAACCACACAGTTACTTGTAAGTTATTTTTGTATTCAGATATTTGCACTCAAACTAGACAAAGAATAGTTTGTAAAACATATGCTGATGTGTCCAAAACATAAATATTCTTAACTATTATCTGTAAAACCGAAGTATAACGTCACAAGATGCTCAATATTCCTCATTTTAACTTTTTCTCATTTTTGTATTGGAGCTATTATAAAATTCCGACTTTCTTCTGCTAACATGACTTAATTCTTCTAATTAACAAAAAGTAATCTTAGCCTGGTGCTAATATTTCATCATAGATTCGACCTGAATTTAAAGTGTAAATAAATAGAAGCTGTAAAAGACGTCAAACAAGATGGCCGCCTTGGAGGTGGTGACATCACTCTAAACTATGGAAACCCAAGGAGTGCAAAAAATCAGGATATTCCAAAATGAAATCTTCAAAAACCAAAAAATTAATAAATCAATAAGTTTGATTTATCACCCTGTTGCATTACAGCATGAAACTAAAGCCAAGCATGTCTGGTTGTTTTTATTGATTCAGTCAGTGAACCTGTGGTTCTGGTCCTGCTTGCGACCGGAGCAGCTGCCGTCAGAATGCGGTTCTGCGGTCGGAGCGTTGCTCTTCGTTCTCTTGCTGTGTTTCAGGTTGGAGTCAGGTTTGCTGCGCCGACCCGCACTTGGCGTTTTTTGCCTTTGACCTGATTCAGAGATCAAAACACGTTGAGCATTAGAGAGTCGAAGGTAACCGTATCGGCTTACTTAGCTGCGAAAACTATCTGCTCCCTCATGGATTCATTTTCTGTTTGTGCTTTTTTTAATTGAACAAATTTCAACAAGTTTGGTCAAGTTTCTACTGCAAATATCTTAAAAATAAGACAAAATCAACTTATCTTTCTTAGTATTTTAGGAAGTTATGGGAGATTGTTTTAAGTAAATAATTCCTTAATATTAATTTAAAAAGTACCAAGTTTCACTGGCAGATTATTTCACTTATAAGAAGACATTGTTCCCATGTTACAAGTGAAATAATCTGCCAGAGAAACTAATTATTTTCATCAATATTAAGGGATTACTGACTTTAAACCAGTTCCTACGTATTTCTGACAAGTTGTAAGCTCGTTTTGTCTTATTTAAAAGATATTTTCACTAGAAACTTGACCAAAACCATCTCATTTTTTGTTTTTGTAGTAAAGTTGCACAGGCTAACATAATTCAGATCATCTATTTTAAATGAAACTTATCATTTTCTTGCATGCTCACTCTTCATGCGGCTTGTGTGCTGATTGTCGTCTGCGCTGGTTGGCGGGGTGCAGCGGCCGATGCTGTACTGTCCGCTGCTTATACCCGTCCCCCTCAGAGTGGTGCAGTGCAGCAGCACAGGGGCCTGTCCAGGTGGAGAACCGTCAGCGGAGGGGAGATGAGCTCCAGGATGCTGAGCGCTTTGCTTTAACACAAAATATTTAAAAACATTTAAATAGAGCTGGACAATAAATCAATCATGACAGACATGTGATCAATATCAATAGATAATACATCTCAAAGAATATTCAATGAATTCTGATCCACAACCGCACAGCATTCTGGGAGATGTAGGCAGAGGAAAACCTACATCAACCTATAAAGTCGAAACTTTATGTCATATGGCTCAAAATTGTCATGTCAAAAGAATTTGACACCACAAAATCAAGCAAATAAAGTGAAGTAGCTTGATTTTTTTTCCAGAATGTATATTTTTGTAGATATAAAACAGATAAGGTAATTTTATCATTGATTCTTTTTTAAAAATGAGAGTTTCCAAAACTATATAAAAAAAACTCGGATAGTGAGATAAATCTCAAAAATTTCCAACTTCTGGAATGTTAAAAGTCGGACATTTTTAACATTTGAAACTCAGATATTTCCACTTTTTTTCTAGAAAATTTCAGTTATTTTGGGGGTGGGAGGGGGAATTTACTCCTCTTTTTTAGAATAGCCCTAATAAGCTGTCGTACATTTTACACATTTGCTGTATTAACAGAAAAGCACCTAGTTTTCTGTTTCTTTTTGGCTAGACTGGACAAATTTATTTTCGGTAATAAGAACAGGATTTGGGGCAAGTTTTTCAAAAATGTTTGCTCTATTTAGTGAAGTTTAATTTAAAAAAAAGCTGACTTCGGTAAAAGTTGCCTTTTGTTTTACCTTTTGTTAAAGCTTTAGCTACTCAACCTCTCTAGGCCAGCTAAGCAAAGCTGGTGGCATCACCTCTCTCACTCTTCGGTTACCTAGCAACTCTCTCTCTTTGGTTGCCTAGCAACAACTTGTTGAATAACTGGCACAGAAGCAGTTTAAGGTTCCACCACTGTGTGCCTCATAACTAATTCAAAATAAAAAGCAATCTTCATGTTTTTCCTGTCGATAAAACAGTTCTGGACTCAGGATGCCAGTATTTCAGATTTATAACAAAAATTAATCAATAAATATTGATATTGACTAAAATTAAACGCTTGTATCATGATACGCAGAGGTGGGTAGAGTACCCAAAAACCATAATCAAGTAAAATTAATGGTACTTCAGTATATTTTTACTCAAGTAAGAGTAAAAAGTAGCCGTCCAAGAAATTAATCAAGAGTAAAAAAGTTATTTGGTAAAAAGTCTACTCAAGTAAAGATCAAATTATTAATCATTTAATATTTAAAAAATAAATCAGATGGACCAAAATATAAAGTAAAGTGGAAATGTAGGTATTTTAAAGTAAAAAATAACAATAATTCATATAAGTAACAAAAAACAACCAAATCAGGCAAATGAAATTTTTTCCATATCAGTTTCTTTCAATAAAAAACTTTAGCAAAAACTGCAGGTCTCTGTCTGGTAAATTTTGCTTTTCATTCAGTGAAGTTACTCACAATGGAGAGAGTCTCCAGAAATTGATACTTCATAATAACATTACTCAAGTAAAAGTAAAAATATGCATAGAAGAACATCTAAAAAAAGAAGTTACTCAAGTAAATGTAATTGAGCAAATGTAACTGGTGATTTGTTTGTCGGCCATATTGTCCAGCCCTGGCTATGGGTTTAAGAATGCGAATCTGATTTAAAGCATGAGTGAAATAGTATGAAATGATCCTTTAAGTGCAAACAGGGTCAGATTAATGCATTTAGCTTCACCCATATGCTTTATTTTCTCCTCCACCCACCCATCCGGGAGAGCTTGGTGATTGGATTGCTTGTTGTTCCACATATATAAGCATCTTACAGGGAAACAGTAATTACTGCTCATCAGTAACGACGTTCAGATTCAGCAGCAGCAGCCATAGACTGAGCGGGAAACTCATTGATGAGCGCCACTAAAAGGACGTTTGGGTATTTTAATGAGGAAACACGGGATCGGCGATCTGTCATTTCCATACCAACGATTAACGAGCAGACAGAGTCGCTGTGACCCGGCTAATACGGGCTAAATTCACTGGTGCATTATGGGCCGGGCACATTTCATCTAATCAGCAGGATGATGCTAGCAGGCTCAGGCTGCTTTTAATTCAGAGCTGCATTACGGCCCCCGCTCCTCATTACAACCGCAGATCAGCCAAACTCACACAGTACCATCTGGGCTTAACTAACATTCGATCTGGACGTTTGTTTGTTGATGTTTTGTTTTCCTCTTCGTCTCTGATTTAGTCTAAGTGAAATAAATGTTCTTTTTCACAGCTATGTTGATGATATCTCTTTACGTCTATCGATGAGCCAGGAGCAACTTATGGGGTTCAGCTGTGTTTTCTTCAGCTTGGGATTCCCCCAGTGTATTTATTATAAGCCTGGCGGGCCACCAGGCTTTACTTGAGCCCCCACCAGGCTAAGGCATTGCTTATTTATTTAGGTCTTTTTAAAATGTTTGCATTTTTAAGACTTTATAGCTGCTGTTCAGGTATTAATCTTCCAATAACACATAATTATCAAGTGATATTTTAACATTTCCTTTCAACTTTAAACATTTTTTAACTCAAAAACATGACGGGTTGCTAGATGACTGACTGAACTAGCACTCAACCACCGGGCTTAGCAAGTTTTCTGGGGGAAACTTTGAGCAACAAACAGAAGTTTTAATCAATTATAGAAATAATCGCCAACTCGTTTAGTAATCAATTAATCATTAGTAAATATACTTTTTTTCCAAAAAGTTACTCAGGTAAATGTAACTGAACTGAAACACGACATGTCCTCCAGCTGTTCTTAAGACAGGAGTGGTAATACATATAAATTAGTATGAATGCATGATATTTGCATATTTCTCTACTTTCTGTTTGATTTGTTCGTCTCTTACATATTGATCTTCATACAGGAGTTCGGCTTTCTTCCGTTCCTCCGCAGTGACGGCGATTCCATCCAGCACCTCCAGCTCCGTCAGATGCAGAACAACATCCAATCTATGCTGAGAGTTTCTGGCAACCTGAGCACAGACAGAAGACAAACACAAACCAGTTAAACCAGTAACAACATCCTGGGAACAAACCACCCTGCTATTAACTCAAATTAAAAAAACAATATGCAACTGAAACCTGACAGACTGTAGCTGCAGATTAAGACATGTGGTGCATACCAAGTATTATTTTGTCTAGTTTCTAGTGCAAATATCTTATTACGCTTGAAATAAAGTGAAACAAACTTTTCAGCAATATAAGAGCTTATTTTAAGTGAACATGTCCTTAATATTGATAAAATAGAAAGTACTAGTTCCAATGGCAGATTATTTCACTGTTAAGACATTTTTCCCATGTTATGAGTAAATAATGTGCAGTGGAACTAGAACTTTTTTAAATACCAAATTAAATAATTATTAACTTAAAACAAGCTCCTATAGTGCACTGAATTGCAACTTGTAAGTTAGTTTTCTTTAATTTAAAGTGTGCTAAGAAATTTGCACTAGAAACTAGACAAGAAATACTTTTCAAGTTTCTGAACTTCTGCCTCACAGAAGGCTGCTCCCTCACTCAGCTCCTTCAGACTAGCCAGCAGCAATTACCAAACATCTGGTGGAACTGTGCATCAGCTGAGCTCATTATAGGAGCTACTTCTCAGTGAAACGCTGGTAAAAACGTCGTTAAAGGGTTAATAAAGGAGCCACAATGACTTCCTGAAGGCGGAGCTTCAGAAAGAGCAGGAGTTTTTAAAGAGACAAAGGCCCAATTTATTTTAAATCATAGTTGATAACAGCTAAAGTTAACATAGTTACTTGATTGTGCTATAAAATGACACAATGTGCCTTGAAACACACAAAATTGCCCTTTTAAGGAATTATTTACTTTAAACAAGCTTCTTATATCTTGCTAAAAAGTTACTTGTAAGTTAATCTTGCCTTATTTCAAGTGTATTTGCTCTGGAAAATACAAAAACACACTTGGTAGGACTTTGTGTTTTTGCGCTGTGGGTGCCAGTAGCACCCAGCTGACAGCTGCCGCTCAGGGCGCCTTCTGGTCACAGAGCAAACCCGCCTGAACCTCCTGTTCCTGCAGGATCCCGCCGCTGCTGCTGCATGCTACCAGACATGCATGGAAAGGAGCAGGAAACGGCGTCTCCTGGGCTGCTTCTGGCAGCAGCAACGCCCCGTGAGGAGAGAAAGGGAATGGGGTCAAAGCTGCCACAGCTGAGTTTGACCCCGTGGAGAGCAGCGGACCGGAGCTGCAGACTCCAGATGGGTGATGGTGCCGAAGCATTTGGTCCCTGATGCCAGGCGGTTTGAGGCGCAGCAGACGGCCCATCCTGTAATCACTTAATTTGGAGTGTGGGATTTTGGTCGTGAGAAACCGAGCTTGTAAACCATACTTTAGATAATTTGTTTGTGAGTTCAAAGTAAGGCTGGACGATACGGCTTAAGAATAAAATCTAATTTTTTTCTCTCGCTCTCTTATCAAAAATACATTTCAAAAAGTGGCTTTCATTTCTGTGAGTATAATAATCGTAACATAATTGTTTAATTATGAGAATATACTAGTCATAGCATTAGCAGAATAAAGACGCAATTTTACAAGAAGAGTCTTAAAATTACCAGAAAAATTCATTTCAAAGAGAAAAAAGCTTGGATAATTATTTTTTTGTTATTTTTTGTGTTGATGTTCTCATAAATAGGCCTGTCACAATAACAAATTTCGCTGGACAATATATTGTCCCAGAAGTTAAACGATAATATTGTTATGAGACCATTTTCAAGTACTAATTGCAAGAACACATTCTCAAAGATCAATAAATTTTAAATATTAAGAAATATTTAACACTGGAACTGGAAGACATTTTAAATATCCAAGATAAATCTAAAATAAAATTAATTATAAAGTGTCTGCAATCAAAAATGTTTGTCAATAAAAGAGCTGAATGAGACCAAAACACCAAACTGAAAAGTTTTTTTATCCAGTTTTTGGAAGAAAAAGAGAAAAGAGAAAACCAATAAATCACGCAAATGGAAATTATTAAGCTTGATTTAATTTATCATGTGATTGATTTATTGCTTATTGTGACAGGCCTGGTTCTCATAAAATTACAACTTAATTTTCCCTATATTATGACTTTATTCTTGCATTATTTCAACTGTATTACTGTAATATATGACTTTACTCTTGTAATTTAAAAAAAAAGTTTTAGACTGGCACTAATACTCCATCGTAGAATTGTAAAAGACGCTTGTTAAACAAGATGGCCGCCCTACTGACATCACTTTGAAATATGGGAACCCAAAGAGTGAAGTGAAGTGTCCTGTGACTGGCAGATCGTGGACTCATGTCACTGAAAGCTCATCCCACTGGAGGAAGAAAAACTGTAGTTCTTCATAAAACCTAATTTGGTTTAATGACAAACTAGAACTTAGTGAAACTTACAGGATTTCCAGATACAGAGAGTTCGGTCAGGCAGGGAAGAACCTCTAATTTGTGGAGTTCTGTGATGTCCTGCGAAAAAGTAGAGAAACAACAACGAAGTTTCTCCTTCACTGCAAAAACACAAAATATTACGAAGTATTTCTGTTCTAGTTTCTAGTGAAAATGTCTTAGTACATTTGAAATGAGACATAACTGGCTTTCATTTTGCATGAAGTCATTTCCAGTGGTTTGGTGAAACAAACTATTATTTGACTAGAATGACCATCGTTACATTCAAAAACGCAAAATCTTACTAAGTATTTTTTCAGTAGTATCTTGTACAAATGTCTTAGTACACTTAAAATAAGACAAAAATAACTAACAACTAACTTAAGTTAATAATTCCTTAATATTGATTACATTATTTCACTTGTAACAAGACATTTTTCTCATGTTACAAGTGAAATAATCTGAAAGGGTAACTAATATCTTTTCATCAATATTAATGATTTGTCAATCATTAATATTGATATTTCTTTTCTCTTTTGCTCAGTGATGCTAGTAGATAATGTAATCACAATACTTCCTTACTTTCTGCATTTATGTATTTTTTCTTATTCAGATAATGAAATCAGGCAGAACTTGTCAGCTTCTACATATTGCTGAAAAGTTAGTTGCAAGTTAGTTTTGACTTATTTCAAGTGCACTAAGATATCTGCAGTAGACTCTAGACAGAAACAGTTGGTAAGATTGTTGCAGTGTTTTCCACGGCTGTGTGATTTAACCTTTCCTCCTCTTTGGCTGCAGCCTGCGGTGCCGATAATGGAGTTGTATGTATGCATGCATGAGGGCAGAACCTTTCAGAATTTAGGAGGATAGAGGATGGAAGAGATTACACGTGTGAGCCCGCGTTAATCTCATGGGAATTTGGGCACGCAGCGCGCCGCGGAGGGGCGGGGGCCCGTCTTTGATTCCCGGCTTTTCGCTGCGACTCGACACCCCCCACGGCGAGCGCCGATGCTCCGGGATGATTGCTGTGTTTTATGTCTTAATTGAATGCAGGAAAACATTAAGGAAGTGAGGGGGAGAAAGGAAGAGGCAACAAAAGTGCAAATCACTCCCCCTGCGTGAGGAGCTTCAGGCTGAGCAGCTGATTACACGTTGTCCTGATTGTTCCTCTCTGCCTTCATACGCACCGCCATGACCTTCAATCAAACTTGATTCTCCTTAATACTACCCCTTGCATACAACAGTGGGTGGTAATAGCTCATGATTACTATACTTTATGCCTACTTTGCAAATGCAGAAAAAAGTAATACTGAATAAAATGCATTCTGAAACATCTGACACATGTAAAGCAATCAGGAAAAAGTTGGTAAATCAAAAGGTGACTGTGACCTTCCTTTGGAGACTCAAGCAATCTCTTTTTAGATTGGATCTGCGGTTTCATTTGAATTCTCCTAAACGACAGAATACCTGCAGCTTGTTCATGTTGAGGAAGAGTTTGTGCAGCTTCGTCAGCGTACTGAAGTGGCTCAGCTCCCGGATGCGGTTGTCGGCGAGGTGCAGCTCCTGCAGAGAGTTGTGGCTCATGAACGAGTCCTTGGAAAGCGATTTAATCCGGTTTCTGTCCAACACGAGTTCCTTGAGCTTGTAGAGTCGCTCCAAACCCTCCACCTGCCTGATTTCATTATCTGAATAAGAAAAAATACATAAATGCAGAAAGTAAGGAAGTATTGTGATTACATTATCTACTAGCATCACTGAGCAAAAGAGAAAAGAAATAATTATTTTTTACTTTAATCTCCTAATTCTAAATTTTACCTCAAAATTCTGAATTTTTTTCTCAAAAATTTTTTTTCTCAGAATTCTGAAGAAAAAACTTCAGAATTCCACTGCAGCTTTCATGAAACATCTATTTTGTTACAGCTGAAAAACAACTTCAACAACTTTGTTTAGAAAAACATGAGTTTTTAAATTACAAATAAAATGTATCTTCGTAATTTAAATGTGCACAATTCTATGATTTACTGAAACAGCTGGTGCTAAAAACTGAGCAACCAGAACATAATCTGAAGCATGGTCAATATATAACAACAAGATAGTGACTGAGCAAAAATATTATCAGTGGGAAAGTTACAAGGCAAAAGCCACTGCTGACCAAAGAGAAAACATTTTACAACAACAATACAAAGAAACGTTTGAGAAGCTATCCAGGCATTGATAAGACAAAAGTAGGACTTTTTGAAAGTGGTTGTGGCTTCAACAGCTTTTAGGTTCTGGTGTGGATTGATATTTTCATTAATGAATAAAGTCATTTTGTTTCTTTCTCAAGTTAAAAAGTACAAGTTACACTGTAAAAAAAGTCTAATTTAAAGTAAAATTCTGGCAACCACAGCTGAAAGTATTTTACCGTAAATGGAAGACATTTTTTACAGTGTACATGGGAGGTTAATTCACTTTTAACATTGGAAAAACGTCTTGTGATAAATTAAATAATCTACCAGTAGAACTAGCACTTTTTCATCAATTTTAAGGAATTATTTACATAAAACAAGTTACTATTTCTTGTCGAAAAATTACTTGTAAGTTAGTTTTGTCTTCTTTTAAGGGTAATAAGATAAGATTTTGTGTTTTTGCAGTGTATCTTTGACTTTAAAATTCACTTGGCAATCAAACATTTAAAAGTGAGAAAGGAGAAAAATCATAGAGGAGCCAAAGAGTATGAAGAGTTTTGTTAACTGCAGCTGTAAAACAACAACAGCAGAAAAAACAATTGAAATCACAGAAAAGCTAACAAAAAATGTTCCAAGATAAGTCAGAAAATAAGAACACAAAGGTGGGCGAAGAAAACACATCAACAATGAAAAGCTTTCAAAAGCTGTTGAAAAGAAAGTCAGTCTCTCTTTTCTTCGTGACCCGTCATCCAGCTGGCCTGCAGTCCATGGGAGGCATTGCTCTTTTACGGCTCACCCCGTCCTGACCGCTGTGAGCGGGAAGGGGACAACCTGAACCATACGCACCTTGGAGGAAGAGCGCTTTAAGATTGGTGAGCCTGCTGAGCTCCAGATTGGCCATATTGGAGATGCCATTGTGACTCAAATGGAGCACCTCCAGGCTCCCCATCAGTGGTTCCAGGCCGACGCCGGGCCCAGGAAGCCTTAAAGACAGTCACAGAAAACCAGTTAGCAGCTCTGGCCTCATTCTGCCTCCCGCTGCTGCATTCAGCTGCACAGGCCTTACAGGTGCAGGGAACTCTCAACAATCGCAGGACAAACAAACAAAGGAGCAACTCTCACAGATCTCCTTGTATATTGATAAAAAAAAAAATATTGACAGTTTTAACATTTCGCCTAAAATAAAATGGAAAATATCCCTTTAAATGTTTGATATTTGCATTAAAATGCATGAAAAGCTGCCAGTCCTGTGACACATACCGGCTGCATTGTCTGGTCAGGGCTGCCCTCTAATGGTGTGTAAAAGACAAATAGTTTGTTTTTCACCATCTGAAAACACAAAATCCTACCAAGTATGTTTGTCTATTTTCTAGTGAAAATATCGTATGTAACTTGAAGACAAAACTAACTTACAAGTACATTTTTATCAACATATAGGAGCTAGTTTTAATGAAATAATTCCAAAATATAGATTTTTTTTGATGTACTGATTCCACTGGCAGATTATTTATGCCGGTGGAACAAGTATGTTGTTTTTAAAAATCAATATTAAGGAATAATTTATGTAAAACAAGCTCCTATATCTTGCTGAGAAGTTACTTCTAAGTTAGTTTTGTTTTATTCCAAGTGTATTAAGATATTTGGTTTCAAAATTAGACCAAAAATAATTCGTAAGATTTTGCTTTTGTAGTGCAAATATTTTAGTAGACTTGATATACGACAAATTATCTTACAAGTGCATTTTCAGCAAGATATAGGCGCTTGTTTAATAAAATAACTGATTAATATTGATGAAAGCGTATTAATCCTATGGCAGATTATTTTAGCACTTGGAGCTAGAATTTTTTCATTTTTCTCTGTTACTGTGTCCTTCAGTAACAACCATTTGTATTAAAATTATGTGTTTGATCAGAAACAAAGTTAAAGTTTGTATAACATATGAATGATATGATCTAGTTCAAGAAAGAACGGACGCTGCCTCAATTTTAGGCAACTTTTCATGTGTTCTTAGCTGATTTCTGATAGCTGACTTTTTTTCAGCAAACCTAAAAGAAAAAGTTGTAAAAATGGTCATATACTTCTTTTAATTTTGCGTTTTTATCGTATTACCTGTTAGATCTGGATGAGCTCTGCTGGCCGTACCCACTGGAGTTGACTTTGCTGTGCAGAATCTGTTTGTTTGACCGAAGACATAGAGTCTTCTGCCTCGGCAGAATGGACTTGATGTGGTTGTGGTTTAGATACAGAATCTGTTACAAAAGAGTTAGTAAAAGTTTCTTTATTAAATTGTGAAGAATCTGTATTATGGATTCAAGCAATTAGATTAATGGTTTGTTAGATTAAAATTAGTTCCAATCGATTAACTAATAACGTCCGCTTAGGACTCACTGGAGGGTTTTCTGTTCAGTTCTTCAGCCCATTTATGACTAATTATGTCCATAATTTTAATATAACTTTAATTTGTTTTGTACAGGTTTTTTTGTGTAAAATCATCACTTTAATAAGGTGCTGAACATTTGTGACAGGAAATAAATAATAACACTATTAATGAAATAAATAATAACA